ACCATTTATGCAGCAGGAGGGCGATACCATATATGGCAGCATGGTGATACCATTCATGCAGCAGGAAGTCGATACCATTTATGCGGCAGTAGGGCGATACCATTTATGCAGCAGGAGGGCGATACCATTTATACGGCAGCATGGCGATACCATTTATGCGGCAGTAGGGCGATACCATTTATACGGCAGCATGGCGATACCATTTATGCGGCAGTAGGGCGATACCATTTATACGGCAGCATGGCGATACCATTTATGCAGCAGGAAGTCGATACCATTTATGCAGCAGGAGGGCGATACCATATATGGCAGCATGGTGATACCATTCATGCAGCAGGAAGTCGATACCATTTATGCATCAGGAGGGCGATACCATTTATGCAGCAGGAGGGCGATACCATTTATGCGGCAGCACAGCGATACCATTTATGCAGCAGGAGGGAGATACAATTTATGCGGCAGGAGGGCGAAAGAATGTATGCGGCAGGAGGGTGATACGATTTATGCTGCAGCGCGGCGATACCATTTATGCGACAGTAGGGTGATACCATTTATTTAGCAGGAAGTCAATACCATTTATGCAGCAGGAGGGCGATACCATTTATGGGTAGCACAGCGATACCATTTATGGGGCAGCAAAGCGATACCATTTATACGGCAAGAGGGCGATACCATTTATGCGGCAGCACAGCTATACCATTTATGGGGCAGCAAAGCGATACCATTTAAGAAGCAGGAGGGCGATATCATTTATGCGGCAAGAGGGCGATACCATTTATGCAGCAGCACAGCGATACCATTTATGGGACAGCAAAGCGATACGATTTATGCGCAGTACAGTGATACCATTTATGTGGCAGGAGGGTGATAGAATGTATGCGGCAGGAGGGCGATAGCATTTATCGGCAGGAGGGCAATAGAATGTATGCGTCAGGAGGGCGATACCATTTATGCGTCAGGAGGGTGATAGAATGTATGCGTCAGTAGGGCGATTCCATTTATGTGGCAGCACAGCGATAGCGTTTATGCAGCAGGAGGAACAATATCATTTATGCGGCAGTACAACAATAGTTTTTTTTTTACTTGGTTAAAGATACCCTTTTTGGCCTCACTCTTATCATACGATGTTCACATGGTACTACCAACACACACCTAGCACAATACTTGGTCTGCTTTGCCAACAGATACCGATCACCCAAAATGGTGTTTGGCATGATGACACATGCAGTTCATCTTTCTCCTGGTACATGGTTTTTCCTTTTGTGCTAGCGACATCCTTTCCCAAACAATTCATCATCCTGGAGGCGAGCGTTCACAGACCCTAGGACCTTCTAAACACTGCGTAATATTTACATTGAAGAGAGAGCAGCCAGGCTGTTACTGTGATAATCATTTATTAAATATTTGGCAGATGACATGACTTCAAGTTTACAGTTTCCCACATATGCAGGGTATTCATAACATGTATGCCATGACACTCACACTCACCTTGTATACCTTCCAAATATTATTAACATAATAATACCCAGTACCACAGACACGGGAGGCCAACAGGAAACCCAGCTGTTGGTGGAAAAACTCCCATCATCATTAGCCAGCCCTGACAACGGGACTTGCAGTCTTCCAATCTGGAGATCTACACCTATTAAAGGTGTAATACATTTCCGAGCCTTTGACACCAAATCCAGAATTTAAATTATAAAAATGTATATATAGCAACATTCATCTGCAACCTCATAGGAGCAAAATAATTTGTTTTTATTTGTCACAATGAAAGGGACCGAGACATTAAAGCTTGTGATACAGCACGCCCCATTCTGTATTACACACGGGATATTCTGTATTACACATGGGCTAATGATATAGCAGGCCCAGTTCTGTATTACACATGGGCTAATGATATAGCAAGCCCAGTTCTGTATTACACATGGGCTAATGATATAGCAAGCCCAGTTCTGTATTACACATGGGCTAATGATATAGCAAGCCCAGTTCTGTATTACACATGGCCTAATGATATAGCACGCCCAGTTCTGCATTACACATGGGCTAATGATATAGCACGCCCAGTTCTGTATTACACATGGGCTAATGATATAGCAAGCCCAGTTCTGTATTACACATGGGCTAATGATATAGCACGCCCAGTTCTATATTACATATGGGCTAATGATATAGCACGCCCAGTTCTGTATTACACATGGGCTAATGATATAGCACGCCCAGTTCTGTATTACACATGGCCTAATGCTATAGCAAGCCCAGTTCTGTATTACACATGGGCTAATGATATAGCAGGCCCAGTGGTGTAACTAGAAACCACAGGGCACCGGTGCGAAAACTGCCCTGACCCCCCCGTATGTCTACTCCTCCGCCACCCTATCCCATACGTCTACTGTCCCCCTCTCATACAAACAGATACACATGCAGACACACACATATAGGTGCGCACACACACATACAAACACACACAGAGACACATACATACAGACACAGACAGACATACACACAGACACTCCAGGAGTGATGGGCCTGGTCGCAGCTGCAACCGCGGTAGTTCCACCACTGAGCACACCCCATTCTGTATTACACTTGGGCTAATGATATAGCACGCCCCATTCTGTATTACACACAGGATATTCTGTATTACACATAGGCTAGTGATATAGCACGCCCCGTTCTGTATTACACACAGGATATTCTGTATTACACATGGGCTAATAATATAGCACGCCTTGTTCTGGATTACACAAAGGATATTCTGGATTACACTTTGGCTAGTGATATAGCACGCCCCATTCTGTATTACACATGGGATAGTGATATGGCAAGTCCTATGCTGCTTACACACTGGATATTCTGTATTACACATGGGCTAGTGATATAGCACGCCCCATTCTTTCTTACACATGGGCTTCACATATAGCTTATCCCATTCTGATATACATGGAAACATTAGCTGCCAAAACAGTCTTGGTGGATTGCCTTACATGTACCGTCCACAAACCAGAGACCATTGGTAGCTGTTCATTGAAGTGGTCCAGCCACCTTAACAAACATATTATTAAGCGGAGGCTTATAAACCATTAATATGTTCAGTACTGTGCAGCCCATTATAAGCTTATTTAATGATAGAACTGGCATTGCATTCGCTGTTTCTTACTCCATATCTCTGTAATAAGTTTTAGAACATGTGATGGACCCAGGAAGTCAAGCAAGGAAACATGTATTCTCAGAATACTATAGGGTGCCCAGGCTAATGGTATTATTAACACCATGTTAACATATATGTAAAAAATCATGAATACAGCACTGCAAAATGTTCCTACTGACTGATTTAAGGTATTCACCTAATTCTAGAATTATTGAGTTGTGGCCAATGACAAAAAGACGATTTAAAACTCCTTAGGGTCTGGACCCTAGTCATGCAGTGAGGGCTTGCTTTAATCTGTTATGATTTCAGGATAATTACCCGCAGACAGATCATGTAGCTGGGAACGCCAAACTATGCTTACTAGTTAATTAGTAGGTAGAGTAAGTTATAAAAGGGTTTTATATTTAGTGATTTATTTTTTATTTTTTTCCATTCATAGTGAGACAGTCTTCACTTGTAAATAACTAGAGACAAACAAACCTTCTGAGTATAGATTGAGGAACACTTCGGGTAGGTTGACAGCCGCTAGAGGCGCTTGCGTGCTTCTCACTGTGAAAATCACAGTGAGAAGACGCCAGCGTCCATAGGAAAACATTGTAAGTTCTTTCCTATGAGACTGGCTGAATGCGCACGCAGCTCCTGCCGCGCATGCGCATTCACCCGAAGAGGAGCTCCCTGCCCGGCGCAGATGAAAGAGGTAAGTTTAACCCCTTCCTCCCCCTCAGCGCCACGGGAGTGGGACCCTGAGGGTGGGGCACCCTCAGGGCACTATAGTGGTCCTTTAAAAGTGACATGCAAGCCCATAGTAGATAACAAGAGGTAAGCATGTCCCAGGTAGGATACCTGTAAGATAAGTGAACACCTGGGTAGAAAGCTACAGATGAATGAGCCCCAAGTAAATAGGAGGTGAGAAAGCACCACGGTAGGTTATCAGAGACAAGTGAGCACCTAGGGAGATAACTACAGATGCACAAGCTCCATGCAAACAACAAGAGGTGAATGAGCTCTCATATAGATAACTAGATAGCCCTAGCTAAATAGCAAGAGCCCTTGGGTAGATAACTAGCTTTGGGTAAATAACAAGAGGTGAGCGTGCCCCAGGGTAGAGATAAGTGAGCCCCATAACTAACAGTATGTGAGCCCTACTGTAGTGATAAGCCAGTCCCTGGGTAGACAACCAGAGATAAGTGAGCCCTCTCATAGATAACTGGAGATAATCAAGCCCCCCATAGATAATTGGAGACAATTATGCCCTCACGTAGACAGAGATAAGTGAGCCCTCCCATAGACAGAGATAATCGAGTCCTTCCACAGACAGTGATAAGTGAGCCATCCCGTAGACAGAGATGTGTAAGCCCTACCATAACAACTGGAGATGAGTGAGATGCTGTGTATAACAAAAGCACATGGAGTCACTCTCAGCATAACCTGCTAAACAGCAGCCTATCCGCTTACCACTCATCCCTGATAACCTTCTTCTGTTGTCTCCCATCTTCTGTGCTCCATCCTCCAAAACACTGCTCTCATCCTCACGTACATACAGATCATTTAGGTCATTTATGGAGCGTTCATATACCGAGCACCATGGTAACGGTCGTCCCTAGTCCTATAGTGGGTGAGACTCATGGAGTTATAAGTAGAGTGCTTGGGGACCATCGTGCCCTTAGGAGACCAGGACTAAATTCCACTGAGTGTTTATGGGCTAAATATGTATCTTTTAGCTGCCACCTAACTTCACCAGGGGCGAGGAAAGAGTAGGGGCATCCACCCTACAGTACAAATACCCTCTAACATTCCACAGATTTGCCATGTTTATGGTCTGTGGGGTTAGTGACTGTGTTAAGATTCAGTTTTTGATTTCCTCGTGGTAACTATTCAGGGGTTCAGTGCTAGCCAGGCTGAATTCAATGGGAACTTTAAGTAACATTTGAATTGGAAAAAATCAACAATTTCAGATATTGTAAAGTACAATTTGCAGTTTCTGTCCCCAGAGAACAAACCCACTGGTTGAATGTTAAATGACTTGAGCAGGTACAAGAAACAAGTCTGAATGCATCGTGTGATGAAGCACACATGGAGTTCTGTATTGAGAGAAACGTTATTCGGACAGTCTCCTACGTACTGTCACATATTAACATATTCTCCCCTTTTAGAAGAACCTCAAGCTGATAGTGGATCACAGTGTCTCAAGCCTCTCTGAAACCGAAGAGTAAATTGAAGGGTGGCCAGCAACCAAGGGGTCACATGCGTGCACGCATACACACACACACACACACACACACACTCTTGTTCAAGCGTCACCCAGGACATGATTGAGCAGACCCAATAAAATGTGCAGTATGCTACACGGGGAACCAATCGTGCACTTGTCATCAGGATGCCTGGCCAAAAGCCCTTCAGTCGGAGCAGCGACTCTCCTGATGCCTTGATCTTGGGTCACATCTCTGTTGGATGGTTGATGTGGCTGTTGAAATGTGGCTTTAAATTTTCAGAAGTACAACGATGTTTTAGAAGTGTGCCTGCAGGAAAGGAATATGTTACAATCACATACCCTAAACATCAAAAGTTCCAACAAAATGTAGCAGCTGAAGGGTGCAAATGGAGGTCTAATTACTATGATGGGAATACTGGAATGAAATAGTGTAAAATTGGTGGACAGATCACAGACTATTCTGGGAATATACAGCTATAGGATGGAATTGTAGGACAGATCACAGACTATTCTGGGAATATACAGCTATAGGATGGGATTGTAGGACAAATTACAGATTATTCTGGGAATATACAGCTATAGGATGGAATTGTAGGACAGATCACAGACTATTCTGGGAATATACAGCTATAGGATGGGATTGTAGGACAGATTACAGACTATTCTGGGAATATACAGCTATAGGATGGGATTGTAGGACAGATTACAGACTATTCTGGGAATATACAGCTATAGGATGGGATTGTAGGACAGATTACAGACTATTCTGGGAATATACAGCTATAGGATGGGATTGTAGGACAGATCACAGACTATTCTGGGAATATACAGCTATAGGATGGGATTGTAGGACAGATCACAGACTATTCTGGGAATATACAGCTATAGGATGGGATTGTAGGACAGATTACAGACTCACAAGACCATTCTGAACATACAGCCATAGGATGGGATTGCAGGACAAATTACAGACTATTCTAAACATACAGCCATAGTGATGGATTGTAGGACATGAATTATCTTGAACATACAGCCACAGGATGGACAGAGGACAGAGACTATTCTGGGAATATACAGCTATAGGATGGGATTGTAGGACAGATCACAGACTATTCTCGGAATATACAGCTATAGGATGGGATTGTAGGACAAATTACAGACTATTCTGGGAATATACAGCTATAGGATGGGATTGTAGGACAGATTACAGACTATTCTGGGAATATACAGCTATAGGATGGAATTGTAGGACAGATTACAGATTATTCTGGGAATATACAGCTATAGGATGGGATTGTAGGACAGATCACAGAGTATTCTGGGAATATACAGCTATAGGATGGGATTGTAGGTCAGATCACAGACTATTCTGGGAATATACAGCTATAGGGTGGAATTGTAGGACAGATCACAGACTATTCTGGGAATATACAGCTATAGGATGGGATTGTAGGACAGATTACAGACTATTCTGGGAATATACAGCTATAGGATGGGATTGTAGGACAGATTACAGACTATTCTGGGAATATACAGCTATAGGATGGGATTGTAGGACAGATCACAGACTATTCTCGGAATATACAGCTATAGGATGGGATTGTAGGACAGATTACAGATTATTCTGGGAATATACAGCTATAGTATGGGATTGTAGGACAGATCACAGACTATTCTGGGAATATACAGCCATAGGATGGGATTGTAGGACAGATTACAGACTATTCTGGGAATATACAGCTATAGGATGGGATTGTAGGACAGATCACAGACTATTCTGGGAATATACAGCTATAGGATGGGATTGTAGGACAGATTACAGATTATTCTGGGAATATACAGCTATAGGATGGGATTGTAGCACAGATTACAGATTATTCTGGGAATATACAGCTATAGGATGGGATTGTAGGACAGATCACAGAGTATTCTGGGAATATACAGCTATAGGATGGGATTGTAGGACAGATCACAGACTATTCTGGGAATATATAGCTATAGGATGGGATTGTAGGACAGATCACAGATTATTCTGGGAATATACAGCTATAGGATGGAATTGTAGGACAGATCACAGACAATTTTGGGAATATACAGCTATAGGATGGGATTGTAGGACAAATTACAGACTATTCTGGGAATATACAGCTATAGGGTGGGATTGTAGGACAGATTATTCTGGGAATATACAGCTATAGGATGGGATTGTAGGTCAGATCACAGACTATTCTGGGAATATACAGCTATAGGGTGGAATTGTAGGACAGATCACAGACTATTCTGGGAATATACAGCTATAGGGTGGAATTGTAGGACAGATCACAGACTATTCTGGGAATATACAGCTATAGGATGGGATTGTAGGACAGATCACAGATTATTCTGGGAATATACAGCTATAGGATGGGATTGTAGGACAGATCACAGACTATTCTTTTGAATATAGAGCTAATCATAGTTAAATAGTTACATAGAAACCTGGTATGCAATCCAAACATGACCATGCTTACATGTTGTATGAAGCAGGATCACGGTTTCCAGTTCTACATGTTAGTAGCAGATACTTTGTGGATGACAATGCAATCATGACCAGCATAGCACACTTACTTGGATCACCATGCTGCTTTCTTCCAGATGTTTAACCTGGAATGGAAATAAAAAACATTCTTAACAGACCAAACTGAATAGTATTTCATCTCACAACAAACGTGTTATCCAGTTGGTTTAGTAAATCATTACACATGGAAACTGATGTCTGCTTCACATTACTGGGCATATGTCTTAATAACCTGGTCTGCTTTCAATGTGAAGCACATATTGAAGACATCACACACCGAAAGGGCAATCAATCAAGACCCTTGTTGATACTGACCATGTGGTACAAGGCTGAACAAGCCAGTTATTTTGCAATTCGTCCTGTCAAGATCACTGCTCAAAGAGAGATATATCAGGTAGAAGTTCCAGTCTGCGAGGGAAAATAACAAACCTAGAACTGTTCGAGCGCCGGCCAGTTTGTTTACCTGTTCGTTTTATAACTTCCTGAAACTTGCCTTCTTATTACTAACTATAGCGTGCCAACATGTACACGCAGAGTTACAGGATAAACATACAATATATACATATATCTGGGCATAAATCTGTTACAATGCTGGACCAATTCCGAGAAAAATCCCATCACTTTGTTGGCTAGAGGCAAAAACAAAAAAGCTAAGTAGCAGAAATTCAGTGGTTCCAAAGAGGAGTTATTGACACTTTAAGGGAACTGTTGGACACGTGGAAAGCTCAGCTATTGAAAGGCCTTGAAAAAATTTTTCTAACAAAGAACCAAAACTTGATGTTGTATTCAAGCAACATTAACAAATAAATCCTCATTACTCAATTAATGTTCTCACGGCTTGCGGTGACATCTTGTCACACAAATGTTATGCACAAGGATACGTGTCCTCTTGCTTCAGACTACTTACCTTTTCATATGTTAACGAGCAAAACTAAGTCAACACATTTAGTGAGGTTACAGTGCGGAAGTTAAATATACAGGCACACTTCCTTTCTCTCTCTTCCTATGTGTGGAAAGTTGTATAATTGAGTCCTAATTTGTATATAGTCTTAGTTGGAGTATATTGCTTGGCATATAATTGAGTCTTGCTTGGCGTACAATGGAGTCTTGCCTGGCGTATATTTAAGTCTTGCTTGGCATACAAAGGAGTCTTGCTTGGCGTACAACGGAGTCTTGCTTGGCGTATAATGGAATTTTGATTTGTATATAGCTTGGCGTATAATGGAGTATTGCCTGGCGTATATTTAAGTCTTGCTTGGCATACAATGGAGTCTTGATTGGCGTACAAAGGGGTATTGATTGGCGTACAATGGGGTCTTGCTTGGCGTACAATGGGGTCTTGCGTGGCATATAATGGAATCCTGCTTGGGGTACAATAGAGTCCTGCTTGGCGTATAATGGAGTCTTGACTGGTGTACAATGGAGTTTTGCTTGCCGTATAATGAAGTCTTGCTTGGCGTATTATAGAGTCTTGCTTGGTGTATGTAGCGGAGCTCCCTGTACCCCGGCTGGGTAACTCCGCTGGAACAGGGGAAAACCTCAGCACTTCCACCCCAGTCGCTGTGGCTTGACTGGGATCCTCCTGTAGCCTCTACGTCCTGGAGCAGGATAGGGGACTAGCTCTATTCACTCCCAGGGACTGGACGACACACAGTCCTGGGAGCGCTAGTCCTTACAAGGACTTTCTCCGCTGAACCCCCCACGAGCTGTGATTAGTCCTTTCCCCTCCCAGTAACTAGACAACACATAGTTCTGGGAGTACAACTGGTTTAATGCCTTTTTATACACAGACCCCAGCAAGGGGTCTCCACTGTCTTCACCACAAGCCCCTCCCAGGAATCTCTAGGCGTGGGAGACAATTGCGTTAAAGATCGGTAAGCTAATTATCTCCCAGGAACAGAGAGGCAAGCACAATAATATAAATCATAAAAAAATACCCCAAAACATAATAAAAACATAAAATAACCCCACAAATAACATTGTTTTTTAAATAGCCCTGATTTGAGCGCCCAAGTTCTCCAAATAGCGCTCAGATCCATGCAGTGTGTCCCAGACCTGGACTATAGTCAGTGGGCAGGAGTTCAGCTTCTACACTCCTCCAGAAAAATGTACGTGGGAAGGAGCGTTTGTTACAAATCTTCCCCCTCTCGGGGAGGCTAACCAGACCCCAGACCTCCAATTGATCTGGGTCTGCGTTAGTCTGGTGACCTTTCCCAAAAGGCTCAGTTGTCCAGAGGGCATCCTGTCACAAGCTACCATTTGTAAATCCAGCTGGGATCTCCAGCTGGGAACTCCACTCCGACACTGCTGAACTCCACTCCGTGTGGACCAAGTTGTCGCCGGGGATGGAGGGCGCATTTCTCTAGGGGATCACATCTGCCGCTGGGGAGTGGGACAGGCTGTTCCCACTCCCAGTAACTTGTACTGCCGCTGGGGAGAGAGACCGGTTGTCTCCTCTCCCTGTAACACAATCTGCTGCTAGGGAGTGGGACTAGTTGTCTCTTCTCCCAATAACTCACTTGGCCGCTGGAGAGTGAGACTGACTGTCTCCACTCCTAATAACTCGCACTGCCGCTGGGGAGGAAGGACAGCTTCTCTCCCTGGAACATACTCTGCTGCTGGAAAGTAAGACCGGCCGTCTCTTCTTCCTGGATCCCACACTTGGGGAGTCTGACCAATTGTCTCCACTCCCAATAACTCACTCGGCCGCTGGGGAGTGAGACCGGTTGTCTTCACTCCCAATAACTCACACTGCCGCTGGGGAGTGAGCCCAGTTGTCTCCACTCCCAATAACTCACACTGCCGCTGGGGAGGAAGGACAATATGCTTCTCTCTTTGTGGATAAAAGGCAGATTGCACAGTCTACACACTTCATTTTCAGCACTTTCAGCGTGTAATGGTGTTATGGAGACAGGCTCAGGCACTGAGTGTAGTGGTGTTATGGAGACAAGCTCAGGCACCGAGTGTAGTGGTATTGTGGAGACAGGTTCAGGCACAGAGTGTAGTGGTGTTGTAGAGACAGGTTCAGGTACCGAGTGTAGTGGTGTTGTGGAGACAGGTTCAGGCACCGAGTGTAGTGGTGTTGTGGAGACATTCTCAGGCACAGAGTGTATTGGTATTATGGAGGCAGGCTTGGAGACTTTGGTGAGGCCCGATAGAAAGCAGTTTTTGTTGGGGGATTCTATCATAAGAGGTGTGGAGCTGGACAATAGTGGTCTTGTGAGATGTCTTCCTGGAGCTACTGCTCACAGAGACAGGAGACGTATCTGTAATATTGTTAAGCGAGCAAAGCAGGAAGGGGAATTGGATGTACTTGTCCATCTAGGGACAATAGATTTGGCTTGCAATGAGGTTTCAGAGGTAAAGGAAGTTTTTTGTGTTTTTGCCAATGATATACTACAGGTTGCTTTCAGGCTGTCATTCTCTTAAGTTCTGACTGTGCATAAGACTCAGAACTACAGGCAGATGCGTATTAGGGACTTGTGGCTTGGTGAATGGTGTCGGGAGCAAGGATTTGGCTTCATTTCTCATGGTATGTTTAGAATGGAAATAAACTGTACAAAAAAGATGGTTTGTATCTTTCTCAAAAGGGAACAAATGTTCTCAGTGAGCAGTTCAGAGGTTTTCCTAGGATGTATTTAAATAGTCGCTGACCTGGCCTATAGTCGGTGACACGTGACGAGGCTCAGTTCGTCACAATGGTATAATGAGAAAAATAACTGGGACATAGCAATACCAGAGTACTCTTTATATAGAAAAGACAGGGAAGGCAGGAAAGGGTGGCCCTGTATGGGAAGGATAGCATAAAATCTATCTGAATAAAAGTTAGTGAGGCGAACATAGAGTCCGCTTGGGTTACATTGGAATTTGGTAATCACACAGTAACTCGTGTAGGTGTGATTTATAGGCCCCAAGGACAAATAGAAGAGTTAGATAATCTACTAGTTGAGGAAATAGCTAAAATGACAATGAAGGGGGAAGTTATCATGGGTGACTTTCATCTTCCTGATGTGAACTGGAAAACCAAAATAGCTGCTCGTGCCAGGAGTACACATATTCTAAACTCCCTACTGGGATTGTCTCTAAAACAAGTTGTTGAGGAGCCAACTCGTAAGGAGGCCATACTAGATTTAGTGTTCACAAATGGAGAATTGGTATCAGATATTACAGTAGGTGAAAGTTTAGGATCCATTGATCATCAGTCAGTGTGGTTTAATATAAGAACAGTGACTGAGTCACACCACACAAAAACAAAAGTTTTAGACGTTAGAAAAACAGACTTTTCTAAAATTAGAATATGTGTAAAGGAGTCATTATCAGACTGGAGCAATTTAAATGGAGTCCAAGAGAAATGGGATTATTTAAAAGTTGCACTGCTGAAGGCAACAGAAAATTGCATTAGGCTTGTCAGTTAGAGCAAAAAATTTAATAAACCACAGTGGTACTCCGCAGATGTGGCCAAAATAGTAAAAAAACTAAACGTTAACATTTAGTAATTATAAAAAAAACCTAGAGTGAGGAAGATAGACAGATCTATAAGATTAGGCAGAAAGAGGCTAAGCAAGTTATAAGAGCTTCCAAATCACACACAGAAGAGAAAATAGCAGTGTCAGTAAAAAAGGGGGACAAAACATTTTTTAGATACATAAATGAGAAAAGGAAATCAAAACAAGGATTACCAGTAGTTAGATTAAAAACAAAAGAAGGAAGGTATGTAGAAGAGGATAAAGGTCTAGCTGACTGCCTCAATGAATATTTTTGTTCTGTATTTACAGATGAAAATGAAGAAAAGGGGCCTCAGTTAGGAAAAAGGACAAATTAGTCATTTGTTACATGTGAGTTTACAGAGGAAGAGGTTCTATTTCAACTGTCAAAAGTAAAGACAAATGAGTAAATGGGGCCTGATGGAATACACCCAAAGTTCTTAAAAGAGCTTAGTGGTGTACTAGCAAAACCAATAAAAGGACACTATAGTCACCCAGACCACTTCAGCTCAATTAAGTGGTCTGGGTGCCAGGTCCCTCTAGGGTTAACCCTGCCTGCTGTAAACATAGTTGTGACGAGACCAATCTGTGCATTGGAGGAGCCTGATGGCCCGCCTGCTGCCTTTAGACTATGGCCCC